TACCTAGAAATCGGCGTCTGTGCCGGAATGGTGGCAGCGTTTGGCTTATTGTAAGCGTAAAAGATACGCCACTTGCCGTTCGGCTTCCGGACACACAACGTGGGTGTTATGTGGGGAGACTTATTCTCACACACCATTCCTTCGTTGTGCTTCGCACGGAAAGGCGTCAAAGACGTCGCACTGCACATCGGGCAGGGGTTTTGGCGTGTTACGCTGTTTTGATTCCCGGGACCAGGTCGATCTCATGACGCACACCTCGGTCCGAAGGTAGGACTGGTAGTGGGTCTTTACAGACGACATCTTGCGATTCCTTTACCAACTGATAGTACGGGTCCGAGTGACTTTTCAGGAGGAAAGATCCACTTCGTGCCCTCAGCACCTTCAACGTGTCTTCCAGGACAAATTCCTTCACAAACGGCGACCAGTTGATCTCCTCGTTCAGTCGTGTAATGATCCCTTCGGCTAAGTCGCCTGCCTTCAAGGCACCGCCGAATCATTTAAGGGACATCTTGTCGAACTCAAGAAAAGCATCCACTGCGGGAAAAACCTTAAGGTGACGTCGCCGTCTTCCCTCAACATACCGTGACGAGGGTTTATAGCTGTGCGCTATCGTCAACGGTAGCCACACCCTGGATCAGGGTCAACGCCCTGCGTCTTGCGGATAATATACGGCATCGCCGTTGCCTCTCCACGGAGGTACTAAATCTCGACAAGACCACTAGGAACACCCACTCAGCGCCGTTCAGTGTCCCCACCCCCTTCTCCGTCATGTTATTAACACCATCCGACGAAGAGCTGTCATTTTATCAGTCTTCGTCCAGTGGATAACGTGCCACTCCATGCGCTTCAGAAGGGCCTTGCCAAGATGCCTTGGACCTCGTCCGACCATGCCACTCTTGGCATGCAACAACTGCTTTGTAACGTGAGCAGTGCTCGCCACTCCACGTTGTATTACTGGGGCATCTCCCTCGACGCATCAGCCCTTGGTCGACCATGCTACTCTTGGCATGCAGCGACTGCTCCAAAATTTGAGCAGCGCTCAGTGAAATATGCGTCGCTCCACGGGCATCACTGGGACGCCGCCCTCGATATTTCGGATCTTGACCGACCATTCTAAGCATGGCATGCAGTAACAGCTTTGATATTTGAGCAGTGCTCATGTACTCCAACACTTTGCTTCGCATGAAACTGAAGCGACCAACGCGCGCAAAAAGGCGTTTTTCCCGTAACCTTCGGACTGGATTCCCCTGCGCAAAGCGCGTCAAGGTTCATCGAGCCGACGACACGCTTCTCACCGGTCTACTGATCGAGCGGGGAAACGACAACACATAGTAGGCGCGGGGCACCCTACTGGGGAAGAAGTGGGTTCTGCTGTGCCTCAAAGAGATGAAGGTCATCAGGGATTAACCTTGAAGAGCGTTGTGCTCTTGAACACGGAACGTGTATGCAGACCGGGCTTGCTGGTCATAAAAGTGACCGTGAAGGGCTTTGGAGAGCCATGGAATATCCTGATCGATTCCGGGGTGTTGAGCAATTATGCTTGACGCTCCAGGATCGAAGGTAGACAGCTGTATGTTGGCATTGTCACTGTTCGTAAAGCGACGGGGACTTGTGTCACTATGCCGAGGGTTCCTGTGGACCTCGATGACAACTTTCTTGACTTCGATAGCGTTGGAATAATGCTTAGTCTTAGACTTGGATGCAAGGTATGACCTTATCCTTGGTATGGCAAAGCTGGAACACATCCATGGATTGATTGGAGGTCGAAGACTTTGGGCGCTACGCGCATATCTGCTGGTGGAGCTTTAGTGAGTCAAGAACCCACCTCTGTTGGGAAGCAGAATTTTGGCGCGGACACTAGACCGGGACGGTTAATGTGCTGAAATCGGAGTATCCGAGCTGTCAAACACAAAAAGTGTTTTGGACAGGAGTCCCGAGCGTGGCTCGAGGGCTAAACGTGGAGTGGCACGTCACTTACTGAGCGCTGTTTAAATATTGGAGCAGTCGCTGCATGACAAGTGTGGCATGGTCGTCCAAGGGCCGAGGCATCGAGGGCGAGGTCCTAACGAGGCACGTGAAGTGGCGAGCACTGCTCACGTAACGAAGTATGGCATGGTCGGACAAGATTCGAGGCATTTGGGGCAAGGCTCTCATAATGCGCTTGGCATGGCACGTTATCCACTGGACGAATACTGCAGCTCTTCGTTTGATGTGTTAATAACATGATGGAGCAGCGAATGGGGACATTCGACGGCGCTGAGTGGGTGTTCCTAGTGGTATTGTCGAGATTTAAAACCTTCGTGGAGAGACAACGGCGACGCCGTATATTATTGCACGACGCAGGGCGTCGACCCTGATCCAAGGTATGTCTACCGTAGATGATAGCGCACAACTATACACCCTCGTCAACGGTATGATGGAGGAGGAAGACGGTGGCATCAACTTGAGGATGTTTCTACGGTGGATGGTCTTCTTGAGCTGGACGAGATGTCCTTCGAAGAGCTCGGCAGTTTCTTGAAGGCAGGCGACTTAGCCGAAGTGATCATTATACGACGGGACGAGTGGATCAACTGTTTGCCGCTTGTGGATGAAATTGTCCTGGAAGCCATCATGAGGGTGCTGAACACACGAAGTGGATTTCCCCTCCTAAAAAATCCCTCGGGCCCGTACTATCCTTTGGTAAAGGAATTTCAAGATGTCGTTTATAAAGACCCGCCGTCAGTCCTACCTCCGGACCGAGGTGTGCGCCATGAGATTGACCTGATTCCTGGAATCAAAAGCGTAACACGCTAAAAGCCCCTGCCTGACGAGCAGTGCGACGTCATTGGCGCCTATTTCCGTATGAAGCACGACGCAGGAATGGTCTGCGAGAGAAAGTCTCCCCATTTGACACCCACGATGTGTGAACGGCAAGTGGCGTATCTTTCACGCTTACAATAAGCCAAACGCTGCCACCATTCCGGCACAGACGCCGATTTCTAGGTAGGAAGTTCTCTAGAACGATATGGTTGGCTGTACAAAGTACAGCGCATTCGACTTGGTCGATGATTATTACCAATTGCTCACGAGAGCGAGTGATATCCCCGTGACAGCGGTGAGGACTCCGAGCGGGATGCTCTGGAAGTAGCTGGTGAGACCCCAAGGGCTATCAAACACCAGCAGCAATGAATCGTCTTGTGACACAATTTTTCAGGCCCCACCGGGCGTATGCACAGAAATACTTTGACGACATCTTCGTCCACAGTCGTGCGGGGCGCAGATGAAAAGAACCTCATCGTCCATTTGAGAGCGGTGACCGAGTGCATGCGCACAAATAAGCTGTATGCTAATGCAGACAAGTGCGTCTTTGGTGCAGAATGCTTCCCATTTTAGGGTGCTTCACTGGGAAGCGTAACCATCGAGCGGATCCCACAAAGCTCAAGCCCATTGCAAACTAACAAATTAAAAGACCTTGCACAAGTATAGCGCAAATTATGCGAAATTGCACGGCCATTGGCTAATCTCCTTAGAAAAGATACAGAATGGTGTTGGGACACCGAGCATCGAAAGGCTTTTGACTGGGTCAAAGACAGCCTCCTTTATTCACCAATACTGGCGTTGCCAAACCGCGATCGTCCTTTTACCGTCGTCTGTGACGCTTCGGACTTTGCCATCGACTGTACACTGCTACACGCAGACACCGAGGGGCGAGATCGGTGATCGCGTTCGAATCTCGCCAGCATAAGGCTGCGAGAGGAACTACCTAGTCCACGACATGAAATTTCTTGCGATGAAGTATGCACTTAACAATTTCAT